AGAGGGCAGATTTAAGTGATAATTCCGGGGCGGGCCCTGTCAATTAAAATGACCGTAGTGACAGGCCTTGATTGTATGTTGGTTATGTGGGATTAAGATATTAGTTATGGTTCGAAATTGGGGGATTATCGCATGCTATACCGGGGTTGAGGTTTATACAATAGTAGATTTAATTTATATTTATATGTATTGGCAAGGGTATTAAAAGAGTTTAGATTGTCAGTTTGAAGTGCTATACGCACTACCCTATGTACCTTCCCGGATATTGACTACCCTGTGTAAGCACCATCCTGTGATTGTGAGGTCACACCTGTCGTAGGAGTAGCCGGCGTGTTGACAGACCCCATACGTGGCGTTGGTATATCCGGCGTATGGGGAGATATGTGATATTGTGTTGAGGTCGCACGTGTCGTAGGAGTAGCTGACGTGTGGACAGACCCCATACGTGGCGTTTGTATATCCGGTGTATGGGGAGATATGTGATATTGTGTTGAGGTCGCACGTGTCGTAGGAGTAGCCGGCGTGTTGACAGACCTCATACGTGCCGTTGGTATATCCGGCGTATGGGAAGATATGTGATATTGTGTTAAGGTCGCACGTGTCGTAGGAGTAGCCGGCGTGTTGATAGACCCCATACGTGGCATTGGTAGATCCGGCGTATGGGGAGATATGTGAGATAGTGATTGGTGAATTGTGATTTAAATTAAAAAAGGTTTTAGGAAAAGAACTACGTGTGGCTTGATCCCTTCATAAGGGTACGTAGGCAGCCTAGGATAGTGCCTATGTGCAGCCACGGGCTAAACATTGCTCTTATGGTTTTATAGAGATTGGTTCGGACCTCGTCGTTGGTCCTGAAATTTGGGTGAAAATGAGATGCGAGTATGATAGGGGGTTAAAACCTCGTATGTTGGATATTTGAAGAAGTTATTTTATGTTGATTTCAGTAGGCGTTCATAATTTAGTTTTGAGTTTGTTATATGTATTGTTTAATGCATTAAATTGATTTAAGAATAGTACTGGCGGTTCTGTTTCGAATCATTTGAAGGCCGAAGGCCGTTTATGTGAATCGCATGAAATTATATTGTGCGTGCTGTCTATTGGGATATTAAATTGCTTTTTATGCAGGTTGGAATTTTGGGAAATGTTTAATTTACAGGAGAGACTCTGCCAAATTTTCGGCAAAAAATCTCAAGCCCTTAGTCTTCTTTGGCAAAAGAGGACATAGTTTTAGTAGGTGGGCCCGACATCGGGGTGATGTCGGGAATTCCACAGGATTCGTCCCGGGTTACGAGAAATTCGGGGCGGGTCCTGTCATTGGGGGAGAACAAATAAACCTAATTAAGTTTCAAAAGGAAAATTAAAATGCTCATCATCATTAATTTTTGGAGATGCCACACACTACTTGTCTAAAAACCTAGGTTTCAAACAATGATCAAAACCCCCACACTGCCAATCACTTTAGCTAGGTACCGAAATCTAGATTACATGAGCAGATGCTCATGTGTGATCACCAAATTGTTCTCACCTACAATTCTCATGGTTTCACCTACAATTCTTGCATGGGGTGGTGCCAAAAGTTGCCATCTTTTCTCTGCCAAACTAAGAGCACTCACCACTTGAGGAAATGGCACTCAAGAGTTGTTATCTTCAATGGCGCAATATTTCCAATTGTGCACGCATCATTTGTTCACATTTCATGTCCAAGCTAGAACCCACTATTCATATAGGTCACATTTAGAATGATTAGTCCCACTAATCCAGAGGTACTAATCCAGATTGTTGGTTCCTCTTTTCCAGGGAGTAACATATATACAGATAGAATGTCTCAACAATTAACAATTATTTAATATATTTCCATAGGTCTTGCGCATTAAAAACCAATGGAGGTGGAAAGAACAAAGTTAGGAACCCTAAAAGCTCCTACTCATGGAAAGTTCATTACAGTTCTCAGCATTGATGGAGGTGGAATTAGAGGAATTATTCCAGGAATTATAGTTGCCTTCTTAGAGTCCGAGTTACAGGTTATACAATTCTCGTACACTCATGCTTATATATTTATAATGTTAAAATTACAGTAATTAATTAGAGATCAATTTTTACTTGAGAATTTAAGATGCAATTTTCGTTTTCATGGTGTCGATGCGTGCAGAAGCTAGATGGTGAGGAAGCAAGAGTTGCAGATTACTTCGATGTAGTTGCAGGGACAAGCACAGGTGGTCTGTTGACCATCATGCTAACTGCAGCCAATGACAACAATCGCCCTATGTATGCTGCCAAAGATATCAAGTCCTTCTATTTTGATAACGGCCCTAAAATTTTTCCTCAAGTGAGGTAACATATAATAGACTTAACAAATCTTTTTTCGGTTCTTTGTCGTTTATAATCACACACTTTAATCATAATATAATTAAGCTTCTGGTCGACACATGATATGGGTTATGCCAGCTGATTGTACTTACCCTCTTGTACTCGAATTCAAATCTTGATATCCATAGCCCCAATACCATGTTCAGCTCATGAACACTATCCCAAAAAGCCCAAGCCTGTATGTATAGAACAAATGGAGTACTGGGTTGTATTATCATATGTAACAACATGAGCCCAAGCAACTAGTTAACAAATTAACGAACAATTGATAATTGGATCTTTAAATCACATATTATGCAGACACTAATGACGAATGTGATGCTTGGAGTATCACAAATATAGCATCGGCATTCAGAAAAATGTGTTAATTTACTATCATTTATATCCTAATAGAGTTGATTATTGTCTTACACACTCCTATGTTCTGCATAAGCAACAGTTGGCCACTTGCCAAAATGATCAAAGCAGTGCTTGGACCAAGGTACGATGGCAAGTATCTCCATAATCTCCTTAAGCAAAAACTGGGAAACACAAGATGTCAACAAACATTGACCAACGTTGTAATCCCAACTTTTGACATCAAGCGACTCCAGCCCACCATCTTCTCCAGCTTTGAGGTTGATCAACCAAATTTTTTATGTCTGAAATTTCTCAAAATTAAGGGCAATGTATATTGTACTTAATTAATACTTGGTTTTAGGTGAAGAGCAAGCCACACCTCAATGCCTTACTGTCAGATATAGGTATTGGAACTTCCGCTGCCCCAACTTATTTTCCTGCCCACTATTTTGAAACCAAAGACTCTGCAGGTAAGGTGGAAAAATTCAATCTTGTTGATGGTGGTGTAGCTGCTAACAATCCGGTGAATATAAATTTGATGATCGTGTTGGGTTTGGTAACGGGTATCATAATCTACACTATCTGATACGTTATCGAATATTGATTTAGTATCAACAAAAGATCGGCACAACATGGATAGTGTAGCATATTGATACCCTATACTAAACAATCTTTTTCCTTTATGGGTGTTTATTTTTTTGGTCCTACAACTATAGTAATGCTGTGTTCAATTATTGTGGTCAACACCTAGACTTTAATTGCTATTGGAGAAGTGACAAAAGAGATTCACAGGAAAAGCCCAGATTTCAATTCTATAAAAGCAGCTGATCATTATGGTAGACTACTGGTACTATCACTGGGAACAGGTTCTCCTAAAGTTGAAGAGAAGTACACTGCAAATGAAGCATCCAGATGGGGAGTGTTTGGTTGGTTAGTAAGTGACCTGATGTAGAACAGCCCGTGTGTTTAGAGTAGATAGCCTTTA